TACGTGTTAAAACTTATTTTGTGCGAGCGCGGATACCATACAGTGCTTTTTGTCTGCGATTCCCAACATTCAGTCCTCTTTCCAGCGAAGATTAACAGACAGTGTCTCAGATTTTCTGTGATGTTTTAACGATTCTTTACTCAATAAAAGGATAAGGTAAGAATTCTCGGTAGATTTTTGTGTCAAGTCGGTATATAAAAGATATATCGACTGCTTTAATATTCGAGGCCTGGCTGTTTCTATACTGGCTCTCGGGGACGTTGCATCCTGCCATGACCCCTTGAGCCTATAAAAAGGACCAGGCCTTTCAAAGCAGGCCATATATCTATACTATGTCACTGTGTGAGAAAATACTATTTTTTAATGCAATTTTCTTTCGTCTTTACCCTTGTCGGCCACCCTAGTCGATGAAACGGACGATTATTATTGGACAGGATTCTTCAATGCCGGCACTCCTGCTGGTGGGGACGAAACAGAGACAAAGGATATGCATCTCGCTATGGTGATTATACTCAAGCTTTACTTCTCTAGTTTTTAGTATCTTCATACCTCAGAAAGGGAACAATAACGTGATCAGAATCAATGAGGAAATAACAGAACCAGAAGAAGAAGAAGAAGAAGAAGAACAACAACAACGATAAGAACAGGAGGGAGAAGAAGAAAATGGATAATATGTGAAGAAGGAGAAGAAGAAGAAGAAGAAGAAGAAGGAGGAGGAATGATAATAAGATGGAGGATGAGGAGAAGAAGAAGAAGGAGTAGAAAGAGGATAAATGAAAACAGTAGCTCATAGAGTCGCAATTTAAATAATGTATTCTCCTGCAAAAGTTATACACCAATATCGTATATTATGGCAGAAGTTGTGGGCACCCGTGAAAAGGAAAAAGAAAATCAATTGTATATGAATAGATATTAAAGGCCGACTATGGGAAATATTTTGTCGCCCCAAGATACACACACTTGCAAATCTTGTAATGGATACGCCGAGTATGATTTGAAACAAGTATCACCTGCATTATAAATCATATTGCCGGTTGTTTGATAATTTAATACTTAAATGCAAGTTTAAGGTAAAAATGAAAAGTCAAAGGATACATATAAAAGAAAGATTGACGAACTCGAATAACGCTTTGACCAATTTGATTGCAAAGTGACAAAACTAATTTACGTAATTGTACGTTGGCAACTGGGGATGACGAAATTGATTTGGCTGTAAAGGTACTATGTTCCATTTGCAGGCCAAACAAATGAAAAGGTTAAATTCTAACGGCATTCGAAAGACAATACTACATTAGAACTTCCCTCAAAACGTAAGGGCTTAAAAATGGCTTTTAGTGGGAAAATATAATAAATGACCATTAGTTGTCGAATTGACTTAAGTGATTGCAATCACCTAAGTAATAGTCTGATTTTCAGACCCTTTTACGCAGTTTTACCGAATGGTCGTACATGTTGTGCTGCACAAAGATTCAATCAGTTTAAATTTGACCATTACAAGTAGTGGGTTATTGATGTAGACATATCCTCATGTGCCTGTTACAGCTCATTTTATGTATGTTATTACCAAAGAAAAAAAAGATGTCAGTCAGTCACTCAATAGTGTCTGACAGTGAAGTCTAGAAGGTTAACGGGTTTCCTGGCATAATTTGCATACTAGGACACTGCTAATGTTTGAATTTCACATATAGGACATACGTGGCATATTCATAATTCCTGCAAAGTTCTACAGAATTTAATGTTGGCTGTAAAAGGGACATAGTATCGTAAACAAAGCTAGATGCAAAATGATAACATTAACTGGAAACATTTTGGAAATGAATGTCGAAATACAGAACTGACACTGAGATGTGCTTTAATCACAAAGTTTCGGGACGAAATTAAATGAAAAAAGTAAAAAGTGAAATAGAATGTAAATAAATGTTAAATTAGACGGGAAAACCTACATTCGACCAAATCATTTATATTAAGGCTAAGCAAGAAGAATACAGTTCACTGTGCCAAAACCCGATCTACGCCGAATGCAGAACGACGCTGGATTCTGACGGTCAGCGGGATTCTGACGGTCAGCCGTGGTATGAAATATCGCCTTCATTTGTGCCGGACTTCAACTACCCGTGCGATGGCAACGGTATTCGATGCTCTGTTGATGGGGATGCCGGACACATTCAATCAACCTTTCAGGAATGCCCTGATCTCCAAGTCCGCTATGCCTGCCCTGTTACCAGTAAGTATAGGCCTACCTTTAAAGGCATCGTTTAACAACGTTTAATCTAAGATGCACGGCCCTACGTGTAATCAGTGTCTGTGATATGGTCTAATATTGAAGCCCTAACAAATTTGCGCTTCAAAATTATCAAGAAGTGCCTCAAAAAAGTAAAAAATCTTTGAGTGACCGGTTTTACTATACTTGTTTTTCCCAATAGACTAGTATTATGAAAACCGTTAGGAAAACGGAAAATTTGGTTACGATTTCCACTCATAATTGGCTTGTAAAAGTCATGGGATTCCTGACTGACCTAAAGGTTTATAATTATCATTGCAGCATGAGCTAAATCCAGGATTTTGTTTCAGAATCTGAGACAAAATTACCGGATCCCTTTAACAAGATTTTCGAAAAATTAACCTCAACTAGTTCAAGTAATTTTTTGCGGCACCCTTTGAAAGGTGAGACAATTACAATGATATGTTATATAATCAAGATATGATTTTGTAAAGGTAATACGGTAGGATATTAAAATTGCCCCGGAGTCGATATAGAGTCCTTGCGATTGTGTTTTTGTTTGTTTTGTTTAAGTCTTGGAGAATACACCGGGAATACCCACAAGCCGAACGAGTGTAAACGAGCCAGTCTACATAATAATGATAATAATAATAATAATAATAACAACAATAATACAAATAATAACAATAATGATAACAATGCTAATTATAATAATAATAATGATAATTATAATAATGAAAATGACAATAATAATGATAAAATAATAAAATAATAATAATGATAATGATGATAACAATTATAATGATGATAATAATAATAATGATAACAACAATATCAAACATAATACTTATAATAATAATAATAATAATAATAATAATGATAATGATATTACTAATGATACCAATAATCCCTAAAGCCCTAACAATCCTTGCTAAAGTGCCTTCCTTCACCGACTCACGTTATGCCATATATATATATATATATATGAACTCAAAAAGGAAAACATGTTATAATCATCATGTTAGCATCATCTTCGCTTACAAGTATTGTCCATTTTTTTCACCTTCTACACCTGTTAGGTGCAACCGTTCCTTACAGCACCAGCATGTCTGGTATTGGTAAAATAGACACCAGTCACACCACAACCAGTGGTAACGATGGCAAAGAAACACCTTTTCCCCGGACACCAGACACCATTTCGGGTGGAGTCGAGGACCCGATGTCGACGCGCAGGAGTGACATCGATACTCCAACTACGACGAGGAGCTCGAGTATTAATGAAGTCACAAGAGACTCAGTTGGTGGTATTGGGTCACCTCCCGAAAGCACCACTTCATCTGTCAGCCCAAGATCCTCACCCCCGCCCGACACTAGACCTGACATCGTGCACAGCACCAGACAGGCACAAGATACTAGCACTAGCACTACACCTGATGTCAGCACTGCACCTGATATCGTGCCCAGCACCAGACGGGCACAAGATACTAGCACTAGCACTACACCCACCATTGCCACCATTGCACCTGACACCAAGAGCAGCACCACTGTCGAACAGGTCCAAGACACTAGCACCAGAACTGCGCGGAATGATGTAAGCACTGCACCCGATGCCCCAACAACTACACGCCCGTCCACCAAGTCAAAACCAGATGAAAGCCGTTCCCCTGCAGATGAAGATGCTTCAAAGACCACTACGCTTACCCTCGGTGATACTAGCACTGTTCCCAGCACCATGGAGACTTCAGTTGGTAAGTCTTGGGTCAGATGGGTCTTGATTTGGGTCTTAAGTCATCCAGAATTTTGTACAACCTGTAGCTTGAATTTGAAAATAAAAAGAATCAATTCGAAACTACAAACTATAACAACACCAAACAGTTTATAATAATTTCACCATAGATAATGACACTAAATAAAAGGGAAAGCTGTGTGTCTTTACTTAATCCTCACAATATTTGTTGGCTGCTATGGAGAAAGCAATGAAATCCTTAAAATATTTAAAACTTATTAGTGAAATAAAAAATTGACACCAAATTGCAGCGTAAGGAAATAATAATTCTTAAGATTGCACCTTGTAAATTTGAGCTGAATTGAATTAACCACTTTTGAGTGACTTAGGTCAAAATATTAGACAAATTAATTATATTTGTATCGAGACAATTTTGGGCCAGAAAAGCTTGGTTAAAGGGTATTTCTATGTTTTTTTCTTTTTCAGGAGAGGGTTAAATCCCTTTTCCCAGAAACTATTTTGTCAATTTTCATATTTTCGTAATGTACAGCAAAAATTCTTCCTTCTGACAAAATTTGCTCGATGGGGCTAAGTGGAAAATTGACCCCAATTTTTAGGGGCCGTCTGTAAGCCCATCCAAACAGAATTTGTTGTCAATTTTTGTCGTGTTTCAATATTCAGCACAAGCTGACAGATAATAAGAATAAGTGACCAATAGTAACAATAATAATACTTGCGAATGGGTATGTCGTAAACTAAACGGGCAATTCGAAATTAAGTCAGGGAGACGGCCAGGGGGTATTTATAGTCCGGGCCAAAGCCTTCCTCAATAAGGAAATTTCTCTAAACTTCCCCTTAAAAAAAAAAAAAAAATCAGTAATAAACAATATTATTCCTTTAATTTGTTGTACTGATGGGATGCTTTATGAAACAATGATTAGTATGTAGGAGTGCTCTACAAATATAAATTATTGTACTGTGTAATTATGTGGATTTTTTTAAATACGGAAAATAAAACCAAACCAAACTGCTGACTCTCTGTACCTCTCCGTAGATGCCACTGTAAGTAGTATCCCTATTACAGCGCCCCCAGAGGGAGGTAAGGATTCAGGCAAATCGACAGGCAACGAAGACCCTATTACTGGAAAAAGATACGGTAAGTACCCTTTCTAGGGATGAGGGAGAGAGTGTGGGTGAGAGCGTGTGTGTGTGCTTGTACGCGTGTGCGTGTGTGTGTGTGTGTATGTATGGACAAGGGGGGCGGGCAATAGAGAGAGAGAGAGAGAGAGAGAGAGAGAGAGGGGGTGGGGGAGGGACGTTGGGGTATTTGAAGACCGGGTCAAAACTTTCGTTAAATACCTGCTCCGACCCCTGACCCCCAACCCCGTCCGCTCTTTATTTCAGGGACGAAAACTCCTTTATTTCGTCACACAAACAGATTTTCCTTTTTTTTTAAAATCCCTTCTCAATAATATATTTGTCTTTTTTTGTTTATCTTAAGAATTGCTGATGAAAATTCCTATTAAAGATTGTTCATTACTATGTCAGAGTAAAAAAGAGTACTTTGATTTTACTTTAGTCATGAGGCGTTCTAACGCTTAAAAAAAACATGCCGCATAAAAACAAAGTTGTCTCTTGCCATTTATTGTGAGGCATTTTACCGCGTCATGTCTCAGCGAGGTCTTATTAGATTTCCAACTTTCTTTTCGCAGCTCTGACATACTTATATCCCGTCATGATAGTGGCGCTTGGACTTGGGGTACCAACCCTTACTGCATGCTACTACCTTTGTCGAAAGTAAGAAACACCCTACCTTTCACTTTTTAATTTTCAAGGTACAAATGCTAATTCATTTTTATATTATATACACACATATTATCTTCTAGCCGAAAGCAAAACAATATTATTCATAAGAACTCTACACGAACATTCATAAGAATATAACAATATCTATTTACTAATCGATATGATGTAAAACAAGGACTTACATATTTTCTGGTTAGAAGAAAATAGAAGAAAAGATACTTTCCATGAAAACAAGCATTAAATTCGAACAAGAATAGTATCTGTTGTAATTATCATTATCATTGTTATTATTATTATTATTATTATTAATATTAATATTATCATTATTATTATCGTTATCACCAGTAATAGTAGTAGAAGTTGTAGTAGTAGCAGCACCACCATCATCATCATCATCATCATCATCATCATCACTATCATCACATCATTATCAGTACAATCGTCATCATTATCCATTATCGTCATCAGCATCATCATCAGCATCACATCATTTTCATTATCATTATAATTATCATTATCCATTAACATCATCATCATCATGTCATAATCCTCCTCCTCATCATCATTATAAATTTCATCATCATCATCATCATCATCGCATCATTATCATTACAATCATCGTCATCATTATCCATCATCATCAACATGTCATAATCCTCCTCCTCATCATCATTATACATTTCATCATCATTATCATCATCATCGCATCACTATCATCACATCATTATCAGTACAATTATCGTAATAATTATCCATCATCATCATCATCATCATCATCATCATCATCACATCATTTTCATTATCATTATAATTATCATTATCCATTAACATCATCATCATCATCATCACATCATTTTCATTATCATTATAATTATCATTATCCATTAACATCATCATCATCATCATCACATCATTTTCATTATCATTATAATTATCATTATCCATTAACATCACTATCATCATAGCATTATCCCCCTCCTTATTATCATTATAAATATCGTCTTCATCATTTTGCTGATTCCTTTCCAATAGGCGAACACCCGCAGAGATACAGGAGCAGCGATTAATCGAAGACAGGAAGCAAAAACTTGCCGCGCAACAAGAAGAGAATCAACCATAGTACATTTAAAGACCGTCATTACTACTGGGCCAGAAGGGATTAGAGCAGACCACACAGCGAGGTCACTGACAGGTGGCTATCTCATTAACTCAGCTCTCAACTAACATAAGAAAAAGACCAACAGGCACCGATTGTGGAAGTTTTCTATATAGAGGGAGCAAGTAGCTACAACTAGGACAGTGGGGCTTTAACTACCAGAGTGCCAACCAATATTCGGTCAGTAGATGTCATGGGCCTAGATTACCTAATGCAGTATACCATTTACTTGACAATTTCTAAAAGTAATCACCGTATCAATACGTTGTGTTCATGAGACAAATTTTGTTTGCGTTATAGGAACGATCATGTTTGATGAGGTATGTGTAAAATCTGTATGAGCTATCTGTATACACTCTAAAAAATGAAATGTTAAAGATAAACTTTAGTACTGGTAATGCGATTGCATTGTGAAAGAAAAGGTGTGGAAAGGATCAGAAACAGTTGATCATGTAGCATGTAAGTATTGGTGTGCACTGCAAGGTTCTGGAGTCATCAAAATCATAATAAATTTGACCGAGTCTTGGTAAAGTAACAAGCACTCACATAGAAAGCTATATATGGGACAACACACATGGTGTCGGGGCTAGTACTACCTTGATTTCCTTGTCTTTCTATGCTCATTACTCAGCCAGTATACATTTTCTTTCAAAATTGTTTGGCACATGTCATTTATTTGTAATCTTGAACATTCAGTGTAAGTTTCGTTTGATTCTGTGGGAATTAATTTTTTTTTAACCAGTACTGGAGTTTATCTTTAAATCCCTATTCAAAAGGACCGAGGAAAGTCCACTCTATCAAAATGGTAGATTTACACTTTAAACACGGTGAGTTAACATTCCAGTTTGTACAGAGTAGAAAGGAATTATTAATTGGCCCATGACGTTTGGTATAGACATTGGAAAAGAAAGGATTGAGATTGGAAATCAGTGAAGAGCAGCTCACAGAAGTTTTGAAGAGTATAATTTTAAAAAGAACTATTGATATTCCTCTGTAGACTATTTCTGAATAACAGAATTTCTACCAGTTAGCAATGGATTATTGCAAAAATTATTTTTTCCAATTAGTCCACTCTCGGAAAAATGACATACATCTAGCAATTGGTTAATCTGAAAGTAAAAAGAACAAATCTTTCTCATATGCAATAATCAATTTAAGTGCAATTCTTCTGTCCCGTCCATTCCAAATGTTTAGCGTGTGACAATAGTTTTTGTTTGTTTATTTATGTTGTTTATTTACAACTTAAGCATGTATTTTGTGTTAGATTAGGAACCCTTTCAGTAAAATGTGAATCTTAGGAAACATTTTTAGTAAATATATTACTTAATAAATATACATAAGTCATAATGAAGATAAATTTACACAATCAATTCCTACGAATGTGTGGTGACGATTCAATATCGAAAGACGTCTATCTCTAAATAATAACTCTATCTGTAAATGACCTATATATAAATTTAGTACACGCTGTACATTGTGCACTGCTTTGAAGGCAAACTGTTATCACAATATTCATGAGTGTGTATTGTATACACATATACATATCATAAAAATGAACATTTTGTGAATTTTACTACATAAAAAACCTTTGCTACATAATTAACGTATACTTGGATATTTTCTTTGAGTGCAATAATGTAAAAATAAATTTTGCATAACATTTCATGACTAATTCATTAATTGGAGGCAATATTATTGTTTATAAATGTCTTGATATATTATTTCGTGTGGTGAGCATTTGCTTAAAATAGTTATAGACTGTATTTATTTGAGTAGATTTATGTTATTAATATATTCAAGAAATAAAAAAGACGAACAATTATTAAATGATGTTTGCAGTTTATTATATTTTAATCTTAGCTGGACGTCAATTACTGCCATTTGTTTCCCGTATTGTTACTATACTTTTTTATTGGTACATTTATCTTTGATAAGCTATAAAAACAATTTAGAATAATGTACCATAATTACTGTAAAATATTATATTTATTTACAAGTAACTTAGACGCCAATGAATTAGAGTAAATTCTTGGTGTGAATATAATGTTTTAATGAGTTTGTATACTGCAAAATGATATAGTGAAATTCTGCAAAGAAACTAAGCTACTGGACATTTCAGTTTGTAACCACTTAGTTTAACGTAACAACAATTTAAGAACAAACAAAATACAAACTTGTATTTGTAATTGAATTTTCAAACTGATTAATTTTAATACAAAACTGATTTATGTTTGGAGTCGCCAAAAATTCGCAACTTGTCTTGAATTGTGCGGTTAAAATATATTCTCCTAGAATCAAACTAAACGTACAGCGAAAGTTAAAGTCTACAAATAGATCATTTAAGAAAATTGAGCTCATCGGCCTGTCAAATGCTTTACACAACGACTCCTTTGTGTGAACATGATTATTAATTCCCAGGGTGTTTAGGTCTTTTGTGTTGCTTTATCAATTTTGATAAAACAACTGAATGCTTCTTTATGAAACGATAAAAAGCAAGAAATGATAATATTCAAACAACAACACAAGTTTGATATATTACAGCTTTTACACCAGTGCAGAAGAATACCAACCATATATTACCCCTCTCAGTATAAATAAATACAATAAAAATAATCATTGACATTGTGCATTGTGTTTCCATTTTTCCCGTTTCTATCATCCTTTTGGGTATGCTTCAAGACACATAATGCAAACAGGAGAGAGAATATATATATAATAATATAGAATAATATAGAAAGAGAAAGGGAGAGAGAAAATGAGAGAAAGGGAGAGAGACAGAGAAGGAAGAGAGAGAAATAAAAAGTGCATGGCAGATATAAAAACCGAGAGAGTGACGGAACGAAAATGGGGGCTAGAGAGAGAGAGAGAGAGAGAGAGAGAGGGTGGGGGAGAAGGGGGTAGATAGAAAGACACAGAAGAGAGAGAGAGAGAGAGAGAGAGAGAAAGAGAGAGAGTGCAAGAGAATTATAAACTAAGAGAGTGACGGAACGAAAATGAGGGAAGGGGCAGAGAGGGAGAGAGAGATAGACGGATAGAGATAGAGGGAAAGCGAGAGAGAGAGAGAGAGAGAGAGAGAGAGAGAGAGAGAGAGAGAGAGAGAGAGAGGGAGCAAAATTGTTCCAATTCATGGATCATAACTTATACAAAACTACCACCACCCCTAAAAAAATTCCTCTCTCCGATGGAACACATAGCACAACATTGTGATGCAATTATGTGGGCGTTTAGACTACATAATAGTCTTTCGATCTTAAAATGTTAAATCAGTGCTAAATCATTAAAATTTTGATTTTTTTTTTTAATTCTTCTTCAAATGCACATATAAAAATGCAAATTAATACATCTCATCCATCCATCAACACAAAAAAGAAAGAAATATACAAAGGTAAAACGAAATTAAGAAACTACATGTGCTACTACTACTACTACTACTACTACTACTACTACTACTACTACTACTACTATTACTACTACTGCTACTACAACTACTACTACAACTACTACTATTACTACTACTACTACTACTACTACTTCTATTACTACTACTATTACTACAGCTACTAGTGTTTCTAATAATAATACCAATATAACTTACAATGATAATAATAACATTTTAAAAAAGTAATGATAATAATGATAGTAATAATAATAATATTAATAACAATAATAATGATAATACGAAATAAAAAAATCGAAACCCACCAGCTGCTTGCCGATAATAATGGGTCGCCTATTAGTTTTAGGGAAAGGCTATTACAAATCAATATATATATGAAAGTATTTTGCTAGGGAGGTTTTGACGTCAATTCTCGTTTGCATAAAAGTTGTGAAATCGATATTCAGGTGAAGAAATATACTTGATTACAGTATGGCTACAAAAGTGTTATTTTTAGGGCTGTTTTGTAATTTACATTGACGTACATTACAGCTCAATAGGAATGGCAGTAAATAATGCATACAAAGTTGATTTATATATCAAGAGTCAATATTTGTATAGAAGCTGAAATTGGCTTGAGATCGACATTGCTGGCATTTATTTTATTTTCCTTTTTTCAAATTGTTACTATAGCGTTTTGCTCCCATCTGTATTCTTAACCCTAATTAAAACATAAATTGGTATTACAGTCAAACCTGGTTTAGTGGCCACCTTTATATGAAGACCATTTGTCTACAAAGACAATGTTTTTTGTTTACTTGAAAATGGTTTCTCTTTAAAACATGTACTAATTAAAAGGAACCTGTACATCAAGACCACCTGCCTATTTCAGGCGCGGATCCAGGATTTCTTAGGGGAGGGGGCCCAACTTCTTTTTTTTTTTGCTCCCGAAAATTTGAAAATCGCGCCGGCCGAAAAGTCGCTCAGTGGGGGGGGGGGGGGGGGGGGGGGGGGGGGGGGGGGGGGGGGGGGTAGTGAGTGAGCACATTTTTTTTTTGGGGGGGGGGTCCTCGAAAATTTTAAAATTTGCACCCCCCCCCCTTGAGCGTCAGGGGGGGGGGGCCCAACCCCCTAAAAAAAAGGTTTAAAAAAATCGCGTGATTTTGCATGATTTTTTCTCAAGGGGGGGGGGGGCCTGTATACGTGTGACGCCCGGGCCCCCCCCCCCCCCCCTCCTTGGATCCGCCACTGGCCTATTTAGACCACTTTCTTATCTCCCTTGGGTGGTCTTTATACACATGTTTCACTGTAAAAGCCAAGTGTAGACGGCACCTTAGTATTAATACTGCTCCTCCTTTGCGTCATGCAATTATTATAATAGGGACTTTTAGATTTGCGTGGACTGATACGTGTGACGTCTATTCAAGGCAGTGCATTAAAATGACGTCGATCGTAGCAATCCACGTTGTCGTTTTGCAAATCTAAAAGTCCCTATTACTACCCCAGCATTGCCAGGTGCCCATTTAATATACCTGGGTAAAGAGGGAT